GGGAAAAAAGGAGAGAGGAGGGGTGAGGGGGGTCACTTCAATCACTGCTTTGACTGCATGTTTATATTATCCAGAGCAGAGTGAGTGACTAGGAGCTGGACTTCACCAAAACCTGCTTCACACTAATGCCTGCATTTTCCATTTCTTTAATCAAATGCAAAGTTCTCTGTCCTCGGTAGTAAATATATTCCAAGATGGTGTATGACCAACGATTTCAAAAAGCAATAATGCAAAGAAATGGATAAACTCCGCCACCGCTGTCTCTCGCTTTCACACATACATACACACATGGGATGTTCTGGAAAAAGAAACTGTGTCGTCTAGTAAAATTCCATCAGCATACACTCAAAAAACCCATAAAAACCTTTTCAATCTATATGTTAATGCCACGAATTAAAATTTAATAACAAGAGATATTGAAAAGCAGTGTTGAATTATACAAAAATAAATCCTGAAAGATCAGGCCCCTAAAATTAGAAATTCAGGGCTGCATCCGGACTGCTGCTAAACCCTTGTAGGCTGGCAGATTAAATTTTTGATGAAAATCAAAATTACACTGCACGCTGACGCAGCCGCAGCAAACCTGGCACTATTGTGATTTATGGATTCATTAAACCCGCGGGAGTTTTCCCCCCTCCTCTTTTCACTCAAAGAAATGAGATTTGCTTTGGTGAAAATTTGTATTTTCAGAAAAGCTACTCAGGCTCTGCTCCACCTCTAGAAATGGCTGAGGGGGGAAAAAAGCTTGTGTGTATATAGCCACAGCACGTAAACAGGCCTAATTTTCATCGCTGCAGCAACTGAACATCCATATGCATTATTCATGAAAGCAATAAGGTTCATTTTTACAAAGGAAGAAAAAAAATGTGCGGAATGTACAGAATTTTTTAATGCGGCACACCCCGCCCTTAAAAACCTATCCCCTGAGACTAATTTAACTGAAGCCATTTTTCAGACATTTCCAACATGCCACTATGGAAATAAACAGAATATTCAGCTTAACAGTATGCATGTTTGTTTCCACATATTTAAGAATAAATCTGGAATTATGCATTTGAAAAAAGTAAATAACTAAACACAAATTCTATTTTTTGTTTTTGTTTTCCTGAAACAGGTATCTGATCCATCTACACCAACTTTACGACAATGTGAGCAGCAACTATGTTTCAAAACCTCTACCCTGAGGCCAGTGATTTAATCTTCCACCATCTTGTGTTTCTCAGAGACCAAAGAGAAGTTTGACCTCTTCATCTAAACCAGTGACTTCACTGATCCCAGTCTAAGCTCGGCTTTTCCTCATTTAAGTATCAACAAGCAGGAATGCTGTTTATCTTTCAACTTAAAGGTTCATTTTTAAGAGAAGAATGTTAAGATTTTCAATAAAAAAGTCGAAATTTCACAACGCATAACTGACAAAAAAGTCCTTCATGTGCAGAGTTCTCCAAATGTTACTTTTTTGTCTGTTTTTTTCGCATTCTGTATGCATTCGTATCGACCCCAGACCTTAGTAGGACTCTGGAGAACATTACTGCACTGAGGAGGTAATTCAGCTATTTGATTGAAGTGTGTTGGACCAAGGAGAGGACATTGAATGTTCACAGAACACCAGCCCTTAAGGACTGGGATTGCCCACCAATATTCTAAGCAGACTTTAATTCTATATTGTTTCTAAACCACATTAGATCCTCTAAGGCGCTTTTCCACTACACCACCTCCAACCGGTTCGGTCCCGATCCGCCAGATTAATTTTCCTAATTTTCCATTAGTAGATCTTGTCCAGCTCTGCGTGGCTGTTTCAAGATTTTCACACCTGCTTCAGGGGTACTACTAGCCCAGAACTGCGAAGAAACAATTTGATTGACAGCTGACTGCATTCGTTGACTGGCTCGCATGGCAAACTCAAAACTATAGTTTAGCTATGGACCGCGGACATGCGGTCTGTTGTCAGAGAACTTCTCAATACGGAGAAGCGTAAATATGAGTTTAGTCAAGAGCAGCGCTAGGAACATGCTTTAAGTTTTGGAGAGGTACGACAGTGATTTAGCAAACCTGCAAGCAACTTGTCTATCTGAAGAACGGGCAGCAATAAAAAAAAAAGAGAACGATGAAGCTGGGGTCAGCTGTAGTGTTGAGCCGAAACTGCATAATATCAACTTGGTGTGATGTGAATTTTATGTTTTGTTTGGATTTGTATATTATGTGTGGCTATTGGTTTAAAATTTTACCTAAATCCAAAAGGTTGCAAATAAAAAAAAATAAAATGAACTGCCAGAATATAGATATATATGTACTGAAAAATAATCTGATAATCTGTCTTCACCATTATGCTTTGATCAGCAATGAATTTCTATAAGACGAAATTAAATATACAGGTTTATTTGAGTCCATCAGAACCACAACCTTCTCCATTGATAAGTCTCAATGTAAACATCAGCAAAACGTTGACCACAGCTGCTGGCGCTGATGGCCCGCTCATTACAGTGAGAAATAGAACATATAATAGAAAAGCTCACTACCTGGTATAGAACCAAACCGCACATTAACTGGTTACTGCGTGATTTCCCAGTGGAAAAGCGCCTTTAGATCTTCTCAACCAGCGCGCTTGAAAATTCTCAAACATACATAAAACTTTTACATGAATCTCAATATGCTGTATTTATTTTGAAGAGGACATCTTTTTTGCTAGTGTTTTCAGGAAATGATTGGATCCTCACTAACAGGACCCAATCTGGTTCTTTTTGGTAAAATACAGTAACTGCCCAGCATCGTTCTATACTTTTACGCATAGAAATATCATTGGATTATTCTCTGCATTAAGGTATTCTGGTCTTTTGTTTGTGTAGTGATTCCCAAACGATTGTGATGCCACAAATAACAGTTGAAGAGACAAGGGCAGCACAATATTAGAAAACATTAATATATTGGTAAAAGCTGTGATGACAGTATGAGTTACAATAAACGCCCCTTTTCATCTATCCCCTCTTTTCTCATTGGAGCTTCAATCACTCTGTGACTCTTAGCTTACTGGGAAATGCAATTTGCATCTGGTGTGAGCATCAGCATCTGTTGTTGTCACACTGCCTAATTTTAAATTAATGTAAAAAAAAAAAAAGTCAAGTTCCTCAGACCTAAAATATATTAGCTGACAATTACTCCATGCAAAACAGTCTTTTGCAATACTGTAGATGACATGGCGATATATTTGTGTCATGCTAGCATTACTGTTAAGGGAATTAAAAGAGGAATGATGACAATACAAGCAACAACTATCAGCATATTTGGTACTTGTTTGATCATTTTGCCATTGCAATCGTTTGGTTATTTGCATTAATTGCTAAAGAGCACCCAAAGAAATCACATTTGTAACACCCAATGAAGTACTGAACTCAACTTTGGGAATCACTGTAACAATTTTTGTTTATAAAAACTTCTGTGTCTATATATATATGCCTTAGAGTTAAGCCAGCCCAACTGATATCATACTATTGGTCGTTTACTAATGATCAAACTGCTTGTTTTTCTCTTATGCATCTAAACTTTAATTCACCAAAGTTTACTTAGTTTTATTCTCAAGAGTGTAATGACCTACTGCTTGTTTTCATAAGCATACGTCATATAAACATTCTTATCACTAACTCTATTGAACTCATGAATGACAGTGGTTGCCTCTTTTCAGTTCCATAGTCAAACAAGAACTCTTGCATTTTGATTAGACTTTTAAAGCAAAGGTCAGAATTTACACTCAGATTTTGCATACCGACCATACATTTTCCCCCACAAGCTCTCGGAACTGAATGAATAAAGATTTTTGAAGGTCAGCATTAAAATCAGCCACAGAAAAAAAAAAATGGCCTCTTGCAGTTTCCCCCCTCACATTAAAATAAAAAGCAAGCCGTGCAAGATGGGAAAACTGTTTGGCGTCTGCAGGATTAATATAAACAGTACAGGCACTGGTTGTGATTGTTTTTCCTGCCCTCAAATTATGCTGACATGTTCCTTTCTTCTTCCAGTGCTATAAAGTTCACTTCAGATACATTTTCCCCCTGTCTGCACAGCTTCAATCTTTGCAAATAAATTCCACTGGCACAAAATGCAAATATTACAGACTTATAACTGAGCAAGCAGTTATAGTTTTCTACTTGTAGATGCCAAAGATTTTGAAAGATTAGAAAATTCATATGAAAAGAACTGAAAGGGCTAAAATTATTCTTTTTCACACAAAGCATCATCATAATATTATTCTACAATAATATTATTGTTTCATAATAATAACAAAATGTAAAATGTATTATTAATAAGTCGCACAAGCAGACTCGTTAAATTTTCTAATTTTCTTTTTTAAAATGACCACCTACAGGTGGCGCCACTGGCGCATTGATTTTAAACCCTTCATTTCTTAAAAACACATTTCGAAACTGTTTCTTAAAATCAGGACGCTTTCGTCTTCTTCTCCTTTATCCACGACAAAACGAGGGGACATCAACATACACGGCGGTGCTGGCAGCAGGGCTGTTTGACGACAAGAAAGGCAACTCTGGAGCTCTGCTCAAATTTGCAGGAAAATTCACAAAACATGGCTGCAGGAGGTTTTTGTGTTTCAGATTGTTCCTCCCCTCATCGTCCTTCATGTTGCCACTCTCGCCTGGTCCGGCTTGCTCCATCGTAATAAACGGCGTTTTTTTTTTCTTGTTTTTTTTTTTTTTTTTACCTGGGCGGACGTGTGCGCAAACTAGCTGCACAAGCGACACGGCGCCAGTTTCACTGCAACTTCATTACTAAAAAAATTTTTAGCCCTCCACAAAAATAACATCAACGGATTATTCAAATTGCTAAAAAGCCGTTTACCTGGTCGTAGGGGCGAACAGCAGTGCAAAGAGCCTGCCTGTGCTCGTTTGCCGTGTGAAAAAAGGAGGGTAAAACTTGATATCCGCAGCAAAAAAAAAATTCTGAAATTTAAGATTTTTAAATCTGAAAAAAACGAAAACAGTGGTTTGACATACCTCTGAATGCGATGCAGCTCATGCGAAACAGGCTGCTGCTCCACAAAATCCTCCCTCCCCGACCAGAGGTGACGGCACAAAAAAACTGCTTCCTCAAAAAAAAAAAAAAAAAATTCTGAATTAGTTATGAGAAATTCCAAATGATAAAAATTTCACCATAGCGGTTTTTTTGCCTGTCTCGCGACCCGCTACGTTACATTTTCGTAAAGCGTGATGGCGCATTTGAGTGATGCGTTCGAGGGGTTTAACGGCTCAGTCGAGCCGCTCCGTCTGAGCTGTGCACAGGGGGTTAGTGTTGCGGTTCCTCCTGTGGAAATTTTCGTCCGCCATATACAAGAGCAGATTCTGAAATTGCAGCGCCGGCCTGAATATTAGCCTGCATGGAAAAAAAAAAAAAAAAAGAAAAAAAAGAAAAGTCTGGGATGGAGACAGAAAAAAATAGGTTGGCCAACTGTGAAGCTGCACGGGAGGGGGGTCTAAAGAGACTAGAAATTGCGCAGAGTATAAAACCCAAACGAAAACGAATAGATGGAAGTTAATTAGAAATTTATGGCTAGATGAAAACAAATAGTCAATCTGATACAGGTTTCATGTAATGCTATGTAATTCAAATAATTAAAAAAAACACACAACTGTGCATTCAATAAACATCATGAGACAAATGTTTTGTTTTATGAGGTTTATTTGCTCTTAAAGACCGAGCTGTCAAAAAAAGTAACAATCAATTGTCACGTTCTAAGTATAATAGCTTCTATTATGTAAACCGATCTGCACAAGCTTGGTTTACATATTTTTTTCAGAGCAAGTTTTTGTTGGCCAACAAATTTTCTTTTCAAAATCACATTCTTGAAGAATTTACAGTTTGTTGTTTGTTTGTTTGCAGACCAACAAGTTTTGAACTTGAGTGTCGATCTAACCTAAAATATGTTTACAGTATTTATTTCTTAGGAATTAGATTTTTAAGAGTTTTGATACAGCGTTAAACATATATTGTTTTTTTTATAGTCAGTAAAGTTAGGGTTTATCATTTGCTACAGTATTAATACAGATTTTAGGTAATAGTATGAACATAATAGTAATAATAACTACAAATATTGCTTTTTAAAATATGAATATACAGATCAATGCAAATGTAAGTAATACATAAATGATAACACTGCACTATCATTATGGCAATTGTTTTATAACTTGCAAAAAAAAAAAAAAAAAAAAAAAAAGCTCCCGAAGATGCCAGGTTGATCTAAGTTGTTTTTTTCTGGGAGGATTGTTTTCTGATACTATTAGATTTTTGCTTGCTCACCGATGTGCTTTGCCATAATCACAATAAGAAACAAAACATGACATATAAATATGGTAAACGCTGCCAAGCTCATCTGTAAAGGATATTAAATTAAAATAATCTCTTAAGTGTTCCCTTTATACGAAAATGAAAAAGCGCTTTATCAAGCAGAGTTTTGAAAATTGTGAAGATAAAAGCAGATAACGAATCGGGATATTAATGTTGCTCAGAATGATGTGGGCGTAAATGATTATTATTGCTTGCTACTTTGCGTTTTATTTTTCTGCGTCCGCTCTGAAATAACGTATTCCTTAATTATAGCATCTGTTGCTACATTCTGAAAATCTTTGCAATGTTGATTTGTGTGTTTCCATTTTGTTATAAAAAAAATAGTTGATGAATCATTTATCTTTATAACGCTTTTTGTTATTATCGGAATATTTTTGTTTTGTTTTGTTTTGTCATGTGCAATAATCTTTTTTAGTATTTTTATTTTATTCGATTGCATCGATTTTTTAATTATTTCTTCACTTAAAATCCATCGTTTAATGCAGTCACTATTTGTGCCCAGCAGAGGGCAGGAGCACACAAATTTAGACGGTTGCCTGCCAGTGATCCCATCTATTTCAAACGCTCTCTTTTTTGCTCTCTACCTCCCCCTGCTGTCTCTTTTAAAAATATTTTCGATTCATTTCCCTCAAACCAGCTTCGTTGCGTAGAGGCTTATTTTTACAAAAAGAGATTAGGTCGGGATTTATGCTGTAGAAATTTGCAGGTAGTTTCAGATATCAGTGCACAGTTCGGGTGTATAATTCTCATTTCCACTACTTGGTAATGTTGTGCATTACATGCAATCCTGATCAAATATTACAAAGCTTAGGTGTAACAAAATGTGAAAAAATTGAATACCACTGCAAAACTGCTTATTTTGAGCAACCCTAAAAAAATGAGAGAGAATTCAGGTATCCACTGTTTCAGTCTTCCTGAATATTGTTAAAATGTCAAGCACCATCAAAATTTGGATTAGCAGATGTCACTTTGTTGTTATATATATAAAAAACTGTCTCCTCTCCCTTTTTCACAGCTCAAGGTTGTCTTGACCTCCTCCCAGCCTAGTTTTTAAAAAATCTTCCTAGAAGCAGCAGAGGAACCAACAGGTGAGGGGGGCTGACAACAACTGGGCTATTTTTTCTTTACGACCTACTTTGCTTTGAGAGCCACTATATCCTGGCAGGATGCTCAGGAGCTTTTACATAAATTAAGCGGCAATTCCCAAAACAATTCATTAAATAATTGATTGGAAGATCACAACAACTTACATAAGATCTCCTTTTGTGGCACATAGGGTTTTTTTTTTCATATAAAAGCTTTTAAGAGATCTATATTTTCATAACTTTTAATTTCTCCATTGTCTCCAATAATTGTTTTCAGTCTACAACCATTTCATGGTGAAAGAAAATCACATTTTAATGTGCACCTGTCAATCATTCTAAATACATTTTACAGAATTTTGCACATTCTGAATGTATATAACTTTTTAGCAAAACTTTGTCAGAGAAAAAGTGATCACAACTGATAGGAGTAAAGCACAATAATTCTCAATCAGCACTCTTGGTGGTTTTGTTTCTTGCTTTCGTATGATCACAATCATATGATGGCTAATTTTGGCCAATTTCTAACAAATATTGTTTTATAACTAAATCTTCTGACTTTATGACTCCATTTGTGCTGCAGCTTTAGGGTGTGTAAACATTGCACAGTGAAGTTATTTATTTAGGGTAAATATTTCCTAACTCTTAAGAACATTCCACATTGTTGAACAACAGTTAATAATTTTTTAAAACTTGATAAACTGAAAGCATTGAGATAAAATTAAATGTTTGCTCATGTTGGGACTAAAGTTGTCCTTTTGGCCTTAATTCTATGTAATATTTGACACAGTAGCACCAGACTCTGGAGTTACCATTAGCCTACCTTGTGAAAAAGTTAAATTCTTTGTCGCTCATTTGAAAAAGCAAAGCTCATACATGTATATTAGGTAGACTTACTTCACACAGTATGTGAAATTTCACATCACTGACTGTGGAAATGTTGCACTGGTCTTCAAGCTAAGCGCATTCTGTGCCTCTCAACTCTTCCTTCAGGGCCTGGGACCTTGATTTCCAAATTAAATTCAAGCTTCACTTTGGACTGCTCAGCAACAGTTCAGTTATTTCTGTTCCAGGTAAGACACTTCTGACATTGGCTCTGGTTCAGGAGTGGCTTGATACAAGGGATGTGACATTTGTAGCCCATGTCCAGGATCCATCTGTGTGTAATGACTCTTGATGCGCTGACACAGTCCACTCCTTGAGTAGCCCCTACAAATTATTGAATGGCTTTTTCTTGACATTTCTCTTTGTTGCTGATATATCTTTTTCTACCACACTTTTTCAATCCACTCAACCTTGTGTAAGAATGTTTGGATTCAGCACTCTCTGAACAAGCTTCTATAGTAAATGACCTCTCGTGGTTTTCAACTTTATTTTTGCTACTGAGAAACTGAGAAACGGGAAATTCAAACCTCAGGGGGTTGCAAAGGTTAGCAAATAGCAAAACATGACACTGAAATACGCTGCTCAATGGTTCAATGTCATAAAACATAAATTCTTTACAAACAGAAACACAAAAAAAACCTTGGTTAATTTCAAGGTTTATGTAAAGTCATAAAAGCACACCAACATCTTAGCACCTGAAGGCAGCAATGACGTGGATATAGACAATAGGCACACATACACATTGTTTGTTCTTTAGATGGACATATTAAATCTGATAACCATGTTTAAGCTACACACAAAGATGACAACTTTTATTATTTTAGCACATGCTGTAACAGATCAACAAACACAGTGATGCAACCTCTGACTAATCTCTATTACTAGTTTAAATGTGATAGGCTTGAATACAACTGTCCAGTCCAATGAAGAGGATCCTCCTGTTGGTCCAGGAAAACAGTGGTTGCTGGTTGACCTCAGAGAAGTAAAAGTAGTCAGTGATCCAGGCTGGTGTTTGTTGACCTTGACACCTAATTGCACGTTTTGTCAAATTCAACCAAAATTCTTCCATGTCTGTGTAGAAAGGAAAACAGTTGAATCTCTTTGCTGAAATGACTACTAAAACAGTATAACAGTTCATTTGTGACTAATTTAGAAGACGTGGTTTTACAGTTTGTCATATGGAGTCACATAACAGGACCATGTGTTTAATTTAGGCATGTAATGTAATATTACAATCATGATTAATCATGTGCTTTCTTAATTTTTCTTAAGTAATGATAGTAAGAAGATATGACAAAAAAAAAAAGTTTTGATGATATCAGAGCCATACAAGAATGTTATTCTCTTCTTTTCGCCATAGATTTATCACCCTCATTACACACAATGTGATGAGGGATATATTTTAGAGATAAAAAACATTTCTAAAATTCCAAAATGTAACATTTAACCTGTTGTGCTCTAAAAAGGCATTAAAAATGGCAATAGCATGGGTAGCTCTTTTTCTATTTTTATAGCATTTTGGTCATGTTCTTTTCAAAGGCTTGCATTTAATCAAAGGCTGCTGGTTGTTTTCCTCTTCACTAGATTGCACACCATGAATATAGCACAAAACCCACAAAAGAAGCCCATAATAGGTCGACCTGCCATCCCTACACTTACATTCTGAGCACCTGATTAGACAAGAACACCTATTGTAATTATAGTTATGATAGGGTAGAAAATGACTAACCCTCCTACATTTGTGTATGCATGAGAGGCCTTGAGAGGCTGAGGAGGACACTAAGAATAAAACACACAAGCCTCTGTTGCCCAGAATGAATTTGATTACAGCAGTCTCCTTGCCAATGCTAATTATAGTTATCCAATTTTAGTCCTTGATAGTTGTTTTTATGTTTGGTCACTGTGGAGTCAAGACCACAGGCTGCAATCATCCTCACAAAACTGAGTGTATTAGAGGATGGGTTCATACTTTGGGCTCTCCAAAATGGACATTTAGATAAGGAGCCTTCTAATCAGTGTCAGTGGATAACTACACAAATGAATGACAGGATTTGGTTTGTTATTAACAA